GTAGTGCCGCCAAATCTTAAGTGAATGAACCACTGCGGAAAGCTCCAAATCATGTGTCGGATAGTTCGCCTCGTGAGGCTTCATCTGCCTTGATGCGTACGCCATAACCTTCCCTTGCTGCATCAACACACAGCCCAAACCCATCTTCGAGGCATCGCTATAAATAGTGAACCCCAAAGTCGGATATGGTATGGTGAACACTGGTGCAGACGTGAGCCTCCTCTTCATCTCTTGAAAGCTCGACTCGCACTGGGATCTCCATACAAACTTGATGTTCTTCTTGGTCAGGTTCATCAGCGGTTGGGCCACCTTCGAGAAGCCCTCGATGAAACACCGATAATATCCCGCCAACCCCAGAAAGCTGCGGATTTCACTAGCAAAATTCGGCGTCTCCCACTTGCTGACAACCTCAATCTTTCCAGGGTCTACTTTGATTCCTCTGGCCGTCACAATGTGGCCCAATAAAGCCACTTTATCCACCCAGAACTTACATTTTGAGAATTTCTCATAAAGCTTCTCCCGAAGAAGGGTCTCCAACACTATCCTCAAATGCTCCTTGTACTGCTCGATATCCCAGAATATACTAAGATGTCATCAATGAAGACAATGATGAAAAGGTCTAGGTACAGATGGAAGACAAGGTTCATCAAGTCCATGAACACCGCAGAGGCATTGCTCAACCCAAACGGCATCACCATGAACTCGTAATGGCCATACCTAGTCCGAAAAGTGGTCTTCGAGATACCAGACTCCCTGATCTTCAGCTGATGGTAACCAGACCGTGGATCCATCTTGGAGAAGACACTGGCTCCCATCAACTGATTAAAGAGATCCTCGATTCTAGGCAGGGGATACTTTTTCTTGACCGTCAAATTATTCAACTCTCGATAACCGATGCACATGCGCATTAAACCATCCTTCTTCATCATAAAAAGCACGGGCGCTCCCCAGGGAGAAACACTTGGCCGGATGAAACCAAGGTTCAACAGATCCTGGATTTGTGTCTTGAGTTCTTGCAACTCTTTCAGTGCCATTCGATAGGGTGCCTTTGAGACGGGTTCTCCTCTAGGTAGCAAGTCGATAGTGAATTCAACTTGCCGGTTTGGCGGTCCACCTGATAACTGTTCGGGGAATACGTTGGGGTATTCGCACACGATTGATACATCCTCAGGTCATGCTTTTTGCTCTTCTCCTACTCCAACAATGCTCACTAAGTAGCCTTGGCAGCTACCCTTCGATATTCCCTTCATCACCTTAAGGGAGGATATGACCTTTGGCACGGTTCTCAATTTGGCACCGTAAAACACAATTGGTTCTCTATTGGTTGGATGCAGCGTGACCTCTTTCTCCAAGCATCGGATATCGGCGAGGTAGTGAGTGAGCCAATCCATGCCGAGGATGATGTCGAAGTCTCGCATGTCTAAGATGTACGCGTCTGCCTCCAACGTCTGACCTCCGATTGACACCTCTAGTACCTGCACCATCGATGTACACGTCTGCCTCCAATGTCTGACCTCCGATTGACACCTTGAGTCCATGTACCATCGTGTCGGTAGAGATCGTCTTTCCCAAAGCTAAACAAACCTCGAGAGCATCAACCCTACTAACACTTCAGATTCCCAGCGACTCCATACATTGACGAGATATAAACGAATGGGTGTCTCCGATATCACATAATGTAAACATGGGCACATTTGATAAATATAACATGTCGGACATTGTGCCTGCATTGCTCGTTGTCTCCTCCAGAGTCAAGGCATAGACCCGAGCTCGCGTTCGCTGCTGCTGCTGAGGCTGATCGGCCTCCGAGGTTCTGGGCAGAAACGGGAGTAATGACCCTTCATTTGGCAGTTGAGCAGGTTATGTCGACAGCTCTGTTGGGTTCTGTTAGGAACGTCAAACAACATGCACAACATTGAACTTTATCGAAATAAATCCTAACGCAGCGGAATCTATAGTTAGGATATGGACGTTTACCTTTTAAAATTTTTGCCGACTCTGAGACGATGTAGAGTACCGTTGGTGAAGTTCGTCTGAACACCACAACCTAATGGGCGTATAGGTTTGGTCTTTAGTTGATTCTAATCAACACGTCAAACGGATCAAGAACGGATGGTGTGCGGGTCTCGGTCGTCGGGCAGCACGTGCACGTCGGGCGCGGACAGCGTGGGTGTTGATCGGGCGCGTCGGGTGTAACACCCCGCCTTGACATGAAAATCAGAGCGCGCTTTTCGCAATTACATTCAAAATAAAACATATTTATTTGCGAAATCCTTTTCGGGATGCTACTAAAAACCATTCATAAAATTAAAACTGTTAAGAAAAACGGATTATCTTTTAGATCAACTAGCATGTAATACTTTATAAAAATCTGTCTGATAAATTAGTTCAAAAATAAAACTGACATGCTAGTTGAAATATCGTAAAGTGACAGCGGAAGTCAAACGTGGCAAAATATAATCGTACAACGGCTACTAGCCATATTTGTGACCACGATCCACTAACTAGCTCACTCCTCTAGTCCGACTCTGTAACCTGAAAAACATAAACATCGTGGGGCGTGAGCACTAAAAGCCACTGTGCTCCGCAGAAACTCATACTGAATAAAACAGTAATAATAATTGCATCATCATGATCAAACGCATGTATATCTACTGCTATATGTAACTGCTCGTCAACAGTATAAACTGGACGTGTCTGCCGACTGTAATAAACTCAGCCGGAACCATGTGCACACCCTAGTGGTCAGATCTAGCCACTAGAGCTCGGAGTGGAATTACGCAAACTGGCCACCACTCTAAGCGGAACTGATATAAACACACCTCGCATTATAGCTGTAATTATACTCAATGTAATACTCAGTTTGAGTCCCCACCTGAACTGCTAGTCTGAAAGTGTAAGTGTTGCTGCTGATCAATCTGTAAAATATATATAAATAAACAAATACTAAGTACTATGCTCAGACTGACTGAAAATAGCTGTTAAGATGCTCTACTCGATCTAAACATTTAACTGGAATATTCTCGACGTTTAATTTGACCGATAAAAAAAACGGACTGAACTTATACTGGTGAACTGGACTTACTGGACTAAAAAATTAACTGAAATACTGTACTGGACTCGAACCGAATCAGTAAATACTGAACAACTCAAAAATCCGGTCTAAACCAGTCGGTTCATTTCCTAGCCGGACCGCCGGCTCGCTGCGGCCGGGCGATCGGCTACTGGCTGACCACCGGCTCGGTCAGTCGCGCACTGGGC